TTTCAAATAACGCTCTTTTCCACACTCTGTCATCCAGACAGCCCTCCACCGCGCCTCCTCCATTCCCTGCCCCACAGCTGTTAACCACCCCCTCAAACAAAATAAATGAAGGGTCCCCCTTGTCGTCATTTTCCACCCCACCAGCCTCTGCATCCAACGTATCATCCTCAAACACTTCCGCCAATCCAATTAGACCCCACCACCCGGAACATCTTCCACTCACTAACCCTCTCTGGCTTCCGCTAGGACCATTCCCTTCACCACTCCTTAGTTCGCACCACACTCCCCACCAACCACACTGATCCACCCGGTACCTTCCCCTGTAACGGTGAAAGATGCAACACCTGCCCACACACCACCTCCCTCACCTCCATTCAGGGCCTTAAAACAGCCCTAGTCTATTGTATCCAGTGCTCCCAATGTGGTCTTCTCTACGTCAGTGGGACCAAATGTAGACTTGGTGACCGTTTCACCGTAATGGCCAACCTAACCTCCCGGTCACTGCCTATTTCAACTCCCCGCCCGTCTCCCCCTCTGACATGTCTGTCCTCAGCCTCCTCCAGTGTCGCAGTGATTCAGAACGCAAATTTGAAGAAAAACAACTTGTCTTCCACTTGGGCACCCTACAGTTTGGAGGACTCAACATTGAGTTCTCCAATTTCAAATAACCTTCCACCCATCCCCCAGCTCCCCATGCAGCCCCACCTCCTCCCTTTCATTCCACCTTCTGACCTTCCCTTCCAGCCACCAACCGGATTCAGCCTTCCCATCAACCAACCAGGTCATACCTACCACCAGTGTCCACCTATCACCACCATTCAGCCTCCGCCGCTCCCCCCTCTCTTTATCTGCAGCTCCCCTTGGCCCCACATCCAGTCCTGAAGAAGGGTAACACCCAAAATGTTGACTGCTCCTTTCCTCCAGATGCTGCTAGGCTTGCTGTGTTCTTCCAACCTCCTGTTTGTCTACCGTGGTTGACCTTAACTGGCCCTGGGCAATTAGGGATGGACAACAAATACTGCCCTAGCCAGTGATGCTCACAGCCCATCAATGAATAAAAAAGCTCTACAAATCATTCAGCTTTCAGAGGTTCCTCTTCCATTATCAAGATCATGTGTTGCTGCCTGAAGTCTCTCAACACTGTCATGATCTCTCTCCCTCTGGGCATGGTGGGATTTGGGCTCCCAATTTCTGTATTATAGTCCAGGCTGCTGATTACTGGTCTGATAGCGTAATCATAACACTACTAATTCTAGATCAAGATACATTCACAGAAGTGTTGTCGTATCTGCACAAGCCTCTTTGACTTTGACTTTGCATCAATGTAACATTCAGATTTCATTTGCATCAAGTGAAGGAGCCTAAAATTCACAGCACAACTACATGTGTATAGTCTGACTGTCAGCACCGTCATCTTATTATCTCCAGGTTTCACAAGAAGTCGGGGTGGGCATCCATTTACAAAATGACGGAAACAAGTCTTAAAACTGCCTCAGGGATCAAGGGGAAGTTCAACTTAACTCCATGTGATGCAAACACATTGCAACATCTGGATAACTCTGAACAGTCACAAACTGGAACCTACTGACCATTTGCACTTTTATTGGTACCTGTATAAACATATGAGGGTCGGTGGTCAGAGCCTCAAACTACTGTGTGCTCCCTCCTCTTGGATAAGCCCTTCCTGAGGAGGTGACACTAGTTCTGTAACCCAGTCTATTAACCAAGAACAACAAAACTCCAGAATCCAATGGCCCATCACCCACTTGGAAACTTACAATCAACCCCTGTCACCAGTCTTTCTCACTGGTATTAACCAAGGTTTGATACAGTTAAGGTACAGATCAGCAATGATGTAATTGAATGGCAGAACAGGCTTGAGGAGTTGAATGGCCCCTTCTTCTTCCTGAGTTTTTGTCATTTTATCACTGTGGCTGGCTGCTTTAGAATTCTCCAGTGTTCTTGGAAATGTTGGGCAGAGGTGTCTACACATAGGAACCATGTGCTATGGGTAGCAAAGGCAATTGTACCAGCTTCTATGAGGTTTTGCTGTTGTTGGGCAATCACTTAAAGCCATTCAAACAAATATAACTGGAGGCGAACTACTGGACAAGGGGCTGAGAGTTAGAAACTGCTCACCAGGTTGCTTAATGAAGGACTATATATGGAGTGCTTTAAAAATTAAGTCCGCTTAAAGCCATAAACATAGCAGGCATGTGGCAAACTACCCACCGTGTACTCAATTGAAGTTTTGATGCTTACCCTTGGAGGAATCCACCTGCAGAGACTCTGTCTCGCCTGTCATCCTTCTGGGCTGTTGCCCTGACCATTTCATCAATTGTCTCTCTAGAATACAGGCCCAGAGGGCTGTTGTACTGCCCCCGATGGCCAGAGCTAGACGTTGTACCTTTAACACCAGTTACATCATAAACCCTTCCTGATGCCCGAGAAGGGCTGACCCCTCTTTGAGGTGAAAGGCTTGAGGTCAGAGAAGTAGCTGGAGAGAACATTGATGTAGTCATGGAAGACGTTTGCCTGAAAGATGCTGTCATCTCCGAGCTACGTGACAAGCTGCTATCCCTCGTGCTGAGGTGATCAGAGGACATCCCATTAGCAGAGCGCATGCTAGCAGAGGCCCATGCAGTCTTACTGAGCTGGTACTCAGGGCTTGACGTCAGTTTTCCACTGGTGTCGATTCCTGAAGCTGGTTCCTGTAGCAACATATAGCCGAGCACAGAACAAAGGCAAAAGAAAATCATAGATGACATGCAAAGACACAACAAGCCAATGATCAAAGCACAAAAATGTATTTGTGGGCCCAGGTTTCCAGCTTTAACAATGAAACCAATCACTTGACTAATGAATGTCTTTGGCTCCAAGTGACGAACTACTTCAGCCACAGCAAGCAGTTCAGTCCGAGAAAAGTTTGTGGCAATTGTCCCAAAATAGTAACTGTGCTTCAAAATTCTGATGTTGAAGCTAGCAGATGCACTTTGTAACATACAGCTTATTGGTTAATAATGTTCGCATCAAACGACTTCTTCTCCAAATAGCATTTTAGATTATTTGATCATGGATTATATTGTCACACTATGGGATAGGGCAATCTCAAAGTCTACCTCAGCTGAAATGGGGATCAAACCCCACACTCTTGGCCTTAATCTGCAGCAGACACTGATTGTAGCAAACTGAGCTAATTGTCTCCTCACCTCTCCCCGCCCCGCCATAAACTTATTCATTTATAAGTTAATATTTAAATCCCTAGGGTGAGCCCAGCATAGCCCTGCTTTAAACCCTACACTTCCTGACTCCAAGAGCACAAACATAAAAGCAAAATCATTTCACATTGTCAGCATCTGCCGTAAGTTCTGACAAAGGCTCACTGTCCTGAAATTCCATTTCTCACTCCACAGATGCAACCTGAGCTCGAGTACTTCCATTATTTCTTTTTTTATCTGTTATGTCAGTAGTCTGATTTTGGATTTGGTAAAGGTCTATATCCATCAAAGGCAGAGAAGGCCCTTTTATATAATAGAGAACTGGTGAAGGTTTGGAGATGGGATCATATATCCATCTCACTGACTCTTCCAAACAACCAGTTTCCTCACTGAAATTCATGAAAATAACAAAGATGCATTTCCTTGCCTGACAAAAATTAAATTGGTCCTTTAAAAACAAAACTGTTCCATTACTCTGCTTGTTTTCAAAATTCTATCTCACTCTTTGTGAAAATCATTGCCAAATTCCTCAATTTTCCTTTGACACCATCATGGTTTAAACTGTCCAGCTTAGACTGTAACCTACACAACAGGGCTGTTGAAACTTTTCCAGCATGTAAATGGCAAGACACTCATCAAACCCTACCTCACTTCAGAGTCAAATCTCAGAATGAAATGCCTTTCCACAGAACTCAGATGGCTGAGTTCAAAATCACACTTTGCAGCCTTTCTTTGAACCCCCTGCAAGTAAATATGCAGCTTTCCTATAATATGGAGCCTGATTTGTTTGCCATATTCTGTAAAGTTCCTCCAAGTCCAGATACAGTTTCAAGGTCACCTTCTTAGGCTCAACAGTAGCACCGTCTCCTGTGCATCCCCATATCTTATTTAGTTAATTTATTATTTCTTAATAGTAAGCAGAACAGTCTCAAAACTACTCCATCAGAGATTCTAGATCTCTTTCCTGCTTCCTCAAGCATTCTCTCATACAACATACATTCTACATTCTTGCTTCTACCATATAGGTTTTCCTGACACTATGTGTTAAGTCCCACTCCCATATCTCCATCCATTCCTTAACTCTTTCATTATGTTCTGTAATTTCTGGAATTGCAGGAAAACACAAAGATACATGAAGAAGCTGTAGCCAAGCCTGTTTTATCTTCTTAATGTCTGTGCAGTCACCTCAATGTTTACATGGAAAAGGTTAATCAAGCAGACTTTGCAGAAATTCACTTGGACCACAATTTCTCCCAAGTTCCCAGTTTATTTCTTCCCCTCCAAAAGGTACTGACCTTTGGGGGCTGAGGGGTTACCTTATAGAGATTCATAAAATAATGAGGACCATAAGTAAGGTGAAAGCCAAGGTCTTTTTTCAAGGGTAGGGGAGTCCAAAGTTAGAGGGTATAGGTTTAAGGTGAGTGGAGAAAGATTTAAAAGGGACGTTTGCTGCAACGTTTTGCCACAGAGGGTGATGTATGTGTGGAATGAGGAAGTGGTAGAGGTGGGTACAATTCCAACATTTAAAAGGCATCTGGATGAGTACATGAATAGGAATGATTTAGAGGGATATTGGCCAAATACAGGCAAATGGGAATAGTTGAGTTTAGGATACCAGGTCGGCATGGACGAGTTAGACCAAATGGTCTGTTTCTGTGCTGTATAACTCTATGGCTGGAACACAATTTCCACAGACAATGGTCATGAGCTGCTTGTTTATTCAAGAGACCACTTTCATCACCTGAGAGGCCACGTTTGGTCAGTGATTCAACTGTAAAGAACATGTTAGCTCGTCCTGATCTAATAACCTTCGTACACTACAGGATCACTGGATGACACTCAAGAGCCTTGGCTGGTTTTAGGCCCATCTAGGTAGGTAGCAGGTGCAGTATCCCAAGTGTTCAGCTCATGAGCATTCTAAAACAAAGGAAGGAGTTTGTTTACATTTGCAAAGTACACTGATGCTTGTCTGCCTTGCTGGTGTGTAGCCTTAAAGCAAGACTCTCAGGGATTAAATGTTAGCTCAGATGCAGTCACACTGTCAACAGGACACTTGTAGGAAATGGATGGCTATTTGGGCTTTGTGGAAGTATCTGATGCAGAATGATGCTGGGTCAAAGCTGTACTCAGCCATTCCCCATCACCTTGCCTTGGCTTACAGAATGACTGATTGTTTTAAGGGCATGATACGTTCAATGATACATGATAATGCTCATGATATTCTGAGGTTTGTATTGGAAAAGCTGAATCACTACAGATATACACTTTGACTGGGGACATCAGGAGAAGCTGCTGTTCCAAATCCTGATGAAAAATGAGTGAGATGGATTATGTTGCTCGTGTTGTCAGCACCACAGGTGGAAGGAGCTGCAACCTACCTGTGTAGGGGAGCTAGATTAGAATGCACATGAATCACCTATGGATTTATCACTCGCCCAGTCCTGATGTTACTCCACCTCCCTCGCACTTCATATTTTCTCCAAATCAGTCCCTGTTATTTCATCTCTACTGATGCTAGAGCAGAGGAGATGCAGCATTATACTAAGAACTTTCAATTTTGCATGTGTGTCTGTGCCTCTGTGAACCTATGTTTGTGCATGTGGATTAATAAGACATGACAGAGGTCTTGTTAGATATGAAAAGGATTAAAGGATTACTGCAATAGTTTGGCACTGGTGCAAGAGGCAAATTGGATTTCCAATTGGATTGTTTGTACCCCCTAATCAAAACTGGTCAGGCAAAAATAACATTAAAATGTATAGTTAAACTTTTTTCAAGGGAGATCTGTTGATATGTTTGTGTTTTATTAAATATTTCCCAGAACCTCCCTCATGCTGAAAAAGTGAAGGGTAATACCAGTTCTCTTAGTCAGTGAGAATGCTTCTCTTTTCATCCTTGTGCAAATGTTAACAGATGGTATTGAGACTTTTTGCACCGGCACAGTGTTAGGGAATAAAAACTGTTTGCGAGGTGGTGGGGTGGGCTGCATGATTTTGCAAAGCTCAAGACTCAGTAGAAAGGACAGTCATCTATCTGAGGTGTAACTATTTATTATGACTCCTTTCTCTTGGTAAAGGAAAGTTGACAGATCTTCTCATCAATAACGCCCTGGGCTTTAATGAATAAGAAATGGTAACTCTAAGTGTAAAACATAAATCATTGTCTACCCATATTATGCAAATAGTGAACTATAGTTGCACCGACTGGTTAAAATATAGCATAAATGGTCAAAAATGTTCCCAAAATTCCAGAAAAAGAATGCCATTTCTCTGAAGTACAGCTTAAAAAAGACATGGTCAGAAACCAAGAGAAATGCTTTTGATGAACCTACTTGATTCCCTACATTCTGCATCTGTGAGTGAGTCAGGGTAAGGAAGGACAACAGTACAAAGCAAACTATCTGTTGCACTCTCAATTCATTTGCCAACCATCGTGGTAATCTTAAATCCAATTCGCACAAGGTTTCTACTAGTTGCCCCAAGGTGGTGCTGTGGCCTCACTCAAAGCTTGTGGCATAGATACAGGATTGCAATGAACTTTCTGAAGTGTGAATCTGATCCCAGTTTGCTGTTTTGCCTTTTTGTTTTGAAACATTGCTTCCAAAATCACTTAAGTGAATAAAAGAGAAGGCACAAAAGAGTGAGAGAACACAAGGGAGTGAAAAACCAGTGAGAGAGAGTACACACAAAAGACAGTACCAGTGAGAAACGGCATGTTTGACAGAACACATGAGCAAGAGTCCGTGAGCAGGAGAGAGAATAAAAGCACAGGCAAGAGAAAGCAAGCGTGAGCACATCAGCATGACAGTGAAAGGGAAAACTTGGCATTTGAATACACACTGAATGTAAGAAGGAAAAGGATTAAAGCCCAGAATTAATTAGCTCAGGGCCGCAGTCCACTATCCTAGCACCCAACAAAGGAGACGTTGCTGATAGCAATATCTTCCAGCTGAGGGTTTGTGAGCAGCACAGAGGTTTCAGCAGGCTGGTTAGTAGAAGAGAGAAGGAAAACCTAAAAATGTGGGTGAAAGTAATTTTGAAATAAGATTAAGCAACCAACGTATTTCAATTTTAAACAGTTTGATAGATTTAGACATAAAAACTTGTTCACACATCAAAGCTTATTAACAGCAAGATCATTGTAGAATCCCTCCAATTTGGAAGCAGGCCATTCAGCCCATTGAGTCCACACCAACCCTCTGAAGAGCATCCCACCCGGACCCACCACTACCCTATCCCTGCATTTCCCACCCTAGATGCTAGGGGCAATTTAACATGGCCAATCTACCTAACCTGCACATCTTTGGACTGTGGGAGGAAACCCCCAGAGACATGGGGAGAATGTGCAAACTCCACACAGACAGTTGCCTGAAGCTTGAATCAAACCTAGGTCCCTCACCCAGGTGAGGCAGCAATGCTAACCACTGAGCCACCGTACCAATTAGGATGAATGCAGAAAATGATTTTGATTAAGACATGCAACTCAAAATATTCCTCCAAATCTGGATAAAGGCAGCAACAACAACGTAGCTTCCAAAGTCAAAAGCACAAAAGATGCAAGAATTTACATTTCCCTTCTTTCACCCTCTCTAGTCAAGCAAAGTCTTGTGGACCACGTCTGTTAATTTCTCGAAGAAATGATGTTTCTGACTGGCAAGAAGAGAGTGTCTACAAGGACAGGTACAGTGCCTTGAACATACTGTGGCACAGCAATTCTCCTGAGTAGTAAGGATCAACACAACACCATGTCAAAGGGGAGGACTGGGCAAACACGAGTGCTATAAAATCAGATGAACACTGAACCATTTGTTCTAACTTTCTCTCACAGTTAGGATAGGGTTTGAAGAATTCCTCTCCAGGGAGAGAAGCTATGAGGGAGTTGATCAATAGCTTTAGGTCACTTAGCTTATTGCGATTCAGCTGCTGACTGAAGAGGCAGAGAAGGTAACACCCTCACTGGACAGGAGACAAGAATGCCACAACAAAGAAGCTTTCTACAAAGTATCTTGTGTCTGGAAACATTGCAAGATTAAGCAGGATGGCAAAGAGAATCGTAAGTAATTCTCAGAGGCAGCGCTATCGGTCCTGGTGAATTATTTCAATTTAGGCATTTGAGTTTCACGATTAAGAAAACCCAAATCAGAGCAAGTTTGTGAAATGCAGAGCATCGATCACTATCTCATCATCCCTATCTCATCCCTAATCACCCTGTCCAAACTGTATCCAACTGCCCCAAGCTGTAGAGGTCATCACTTACCAATTATTATGTTTCCCCAAATGGTAGGCTGCTTGATTATTTTGCCATAATTATTTGGCCAATCCCTCCTACCCTTTTTGAATAATGGAATAATGTTTGTAGAACCACCCCCACCCCCACCCCACTATCCTCTGATACCTCGCCTATATCTAGTGAGGATTGGAAAGTGATCCTCAGAATCCACTATTTCCTCCCTGACTTCCCTTAACCATCTAGTGTGCAATACATCCAGCTCTGGTGATTTATCCAACTTCATGGAGGTCAGTCCCTTCATTACTTCTCCTATTATGCTTCTTTTATCTAATAGTTCATGTTCCTCCTTTTATAACAGGAATGTCTGTATCATCCCTCTCCTCCGTGACAAAATACTCGTTTGGAACTCTGCCATATCTTCTGGACTCACAAACAAGTTACATATCTAGATCTCTAATAGGCCCAACCCTTTTACTAGTTAGCCTCTTGCTCTTAATGTACTGAAAATCTTTGGTTTTTTGTTAATTTTACTGCCATTATTTGTTTGTGTTCTTGCTTTGCTTTCCTAATTTCCCTTTTCAATTCAGTCCTATATTTTCTGTACTCCTCTAAGCTTCCTAAAGTATTACTTTTTAGAGATTGGCATGAGTTCTGCTTTATTTTCTGCTTTATATTATCCTGTATGCTTCTGGATAACAGGGTATTCTAATTTGGCAGTAGCACTCCTTTTCTTCCCACTGTGCCTGTGGAATCTTGCTTTTGAATGCCTCTCACTGATTTGCTACAGACTTTCTTTCAAGTAGCCGTAACTGGTCCACTTTTGCCAGATCAGCCCTCAGCCCTGTAAAGTTTGCTGAACCCCAGTGTAGGACATTTACTTCTGTTATCTCTATGTTCATTTCCATATAATACTAAATCTAACTGTCAATTCAGTGTTTAACCCACTGGGCAGCTAGCCTGCTTTTTAGATGTTCAATAGAAAGTAAGTATTTAAGGAAGCAGGCTTTCCTGCCAGCTTTGATAATATCACAGTGTTCATCTAAATTGCTGAGATTAGCAAGACAGGTCAATCTTCATGGGCACGGAAGGTGAAACCGCAGAATGTCAGGACATTTGCTGCTGTTCTCAAAATCAGTTTAGATATCCCTGCCCTCCATCCTTCAATGGTCCCACCTTTTGGAAGGAACTTCCTCTACTGTGCATCATTTTCAACTCTTAATATAATGTTTAATATTCAGAAGGGTTCAGTTCAACAAATGTGGTTAATTATGAGAAGAGTAACACAGTTCCTGGTGCAGAAACGGTGCTGGAGGAAGGCCACTAGGGTAAAAATCAACACAATCCATCATTTTGGTGGGAGGATGATGTCGAAGGTGCTGATCCTTCAGTGCTTCCCATTATTTGGGACTGATTTGACTGAGGAGTTGAAAGGACAAGTCTGCAACATTTCATCAACAGGAACCAACTCCTGCAATCAAAGAAAACAGTGTTGCACAAAGCCGGTTATCATTTTCATGTTAACAATTGAGTATCTTTTTTCCTTCAATCACTCCAATTGCTCTCTGCCGTACTGGAGCCATTAACTCCCTTTATTGGATATCGTTCCACAGGTGTCAGTTTCTGTCAGCCACATGCTCTTTATTCCCATAAACCTTGGCAGTACAAGCTGGAAAAGTGTACATCTATGAAAGTCTTTGCAGTTGCATGCCACAGTCAACTGATGTCCAAATGTAGACACTCAGGGGTCTTGGTAGCCATCAGGGCCAAGGAGCCTGGCCATTATCTCCTGCCCTCATTGTGGGCAGTTTCAAATAACTTGCTGATCACTGCCCCCCAAGTTTTCTTTCTTGTAATTTACTGTTGGGGCATGAGGGTTGCTAGCAAGGGCAGCATTCATTGCTCTAGATGTCCTTATTAAAAGTGGTGGTGAGCCACCTTCTTGAACCACTGCAGTCCATAAGGATACTCAAGGTGCTGTCAGGAAGGGAGTTCCAGAATTTTGATCCAATGACAGTGAAGGAATGGTGATACGATTCTGGAATGAGGGGAGCTTCAGGTGGAGTTATATCAATGTGTCTGCTGTCCATGTCCTCCAAGATGATACAGGTCGTGGACTTGGAAGTTGCTGTTAGAGGCGTATGGTCAATTTACTCAGAACAGAAGATACTTGAGATCTGTGGCTCAGAGATAGTGATCCTGGCATCATTTGATTTGATTTATTATAGTCACACGTACAGAGATATTGAAAAGTATTGTTTTGCGTGCTAACCAGACAAATCATACCTTACATAAGTATGTCAGGGTATAAGAACAGAATGCAGAATATAGAGAAGATGCAGAGAAAGTTCAGCTCTAATATATGAGAGGTCTTTTCATAAGTTTGATAACAGAGGGGAAGAAGCTGTTCTTAAATCTGTTGGAATGTGTTTTCAAACTTTTGTATCTTCTGCCTGGGGTGGGAGGAGGGTCTTTGATGATGTTGGCTACTTTCCCAAGGCAGCGGGAAGTGTAGACAGAGTCAATTGAAGGAAGGCTGGTTTTCGTGATGGACTGAGCTGCATTCACAACTCTCTGTAATTTGTTTAGGTCTTGGGCACAGCAGTTGCCATACCAAGCTGTGATGCATCTGAAGGATGCTTTCTGTGGTGCATCTAGAAAAATTTCTAAGAGTCATTGTGGACATGATGAATTTCCTTAGCCTCCTGTGGAAGTAGAGGCATTTGTTTGCTTTCTTGTAGCATTGATTATTTCTGCCGAATGTTAACTACTTAGGTGGTAGATTTCAGGATGTTTGTTCTGAGTCGTTTATAATGCGATTATTGAAAGTGGAAATGTCTTAATGACTGTTACTTAAATTGATTAATTTCTTTAGTAATATTGATTCAGAGCCTCATTTAAGGGTACCACATTCCTGACAGTGTGCGGCAATCAGGCCTTTGCTTATGAACTGTCGTGACCAACATAAAGCACATCAACACATATCTTGTTCTTTACAAATAAAAAGGTAGCCAGCAGCAGTGTCCCCTTAAAATGTCTATGGTTAATAGTCTGTGTAAAGCAAGGTTTAAGTGGAGAGAGCAGATTTTTTTTTAATCCTAGAACTTGCTCTCTTTTTCATCTTTGTGCTTGTTTGGGTTGGCAATCACTTCATCTTCTGGTCTGGGTAGTTTGCTGCCTCCAAGTGTGTCTTAATGAGTAGAGGTCCTTGTCAAAAATAGAATGTAGTTTACTACATGATAGCAATTGGTCACAAATGAAATTAATAAGATAGACTTTGTTATTGAGATTATCAAGAGACCAGGATAACGTCTTCACTCCTAAGATTCTCAGCTGTTCTGCCTCATCCCCACAAAAGTCATTGTGATAGTATGCAGCTTGATGCAGTCTCCAACATCAATCCTTTCAGAAATATTATCTTATCTAATACCTTTCTCCCCTGAATCTTCACCATACCAGCAGGACCAATGTGACCATCATCTTTCAGGTGTGAATTCTGGGTGAAATGATGTAACCAGTGACTGTCACACTTTGTGCAGGAGCTTATCTCCACATGGCATTGTGATATATCTGGACATTTGTCTTCATAATGGCATCTTCGAAACAAATAAATGATTGACACAAGAGCTTACATCCTCAAAAGATACCAAAAGTTGTCGAGACACAATTATACAAGTCAGGAAATTAGAGAGTGGTTGCAAATGAACTACAGAGCCAACATTAAAGGTGGCACTACCCTTACCTTTTGATGAGGGATAACTGGCATGGGAGAGTCCATCCGAAGAGTTGCAGTTGGAACTGGGCCTGGGCGTTTTGATCTGAAAGAAAAAAAAACATTTCTTCTTAGAACATTTTTAAAACAATGAACTACTCCTGCTGCTGTAGCTAGGCAAGTTTGGTTTGGCTTTCTTTTTGGTCACAGCCAACCAAATCTGCCCCCCCAGCGACCCAAGCTCAAATCAACCACTGATTTCTGAAAACATTTCAGAATATCTCAGATAAAATCAATGTTTCTGATCTCAATTTATTATAACTGGCAACATACAAGATTAAAAGCAACAAAATCTGCAGTGCACTGTGAGTAAGTAGGATCAATTACTTCCAATTAATTTGGCAGCCAATGGCTTGGTACAACCTACTCAAATTCCAGAGGGAATTACAGTTTAATTGCAAACATGTCTTTATAAGGGAAGGAAGAATGAGAAAGAAAGATAAGGGGAAACAAAAGTAAAAAAAAAGCAAATGTTGATATCACAAGGTTCATCTCACCTTAATCAAAATCATTTGTGTGATGTGAGTCGCTCGCTAGGCCAGCATTTATTGGCCATCCCTAATTGTCCTTGAGAAGGGGGTCATGTACTGCCTTTGCAGCCCATTTGGTGTGCTTGGCTTGTTGGTCTAGAGGTATGATTCTTGCTTCAGGTCTCACACTGTGTGTGGTTCAACTGCTGGATGAGCCCTTACTCACTCCATATTTGGATTAGTAAACTTTACATGGTCAGGAAGGAGAGAGAGCATATCCAGAGACCAGCCCAAGTGATTATACAGTTTGGGGAATATGGGCGGCAGCGTGTGAATTTGGTGCAGAGGGGAAGAAGTACTTTTTGCTTGTTTTTTTTTTTGGCCCATAGTTTGTCATGTTTTTTAACAGGATAAATTAAAGCCCAGGATCAGGGGCCCAGTATAAAAGAGTAATGACATAGAAATACCGTAAGTTCATTGGTTCATGATAGCTTCTTAGTTGACTATAGGTTAGTTTCAGGTTGAAGGTAAATAGGGGAAATATTTACAGGCTACAAACTAAAAGACCAGTACAAAATATTTAAAAATCAAATTAAAACTAAGGTGATGTGTTGAAACTGCATGATATGGAACCTGGGGGACCCCATTCTTCTTCTTGTGACCATCTGTTTCAAGCGTTGGTTGCTTGAAGAACCCTGGCTCAAAGTTGAGCTTAAACACTGTGAAACATCAGGGAGGAGAGTGTTACCTCGATGCTGTGTTACAGGAGGTAGTCACACCCCTGAAATTACTTTTGAGATGTTTTAAATTCGGTCAGTGGTCAGGGACAGGAGGATGTGACTACATGCAAGGCAGGAAGAGGGATCCAGAAGGTAGTGCTGAAGGAGCCTCAGTACTTGAGCTTGTCTAATTGGTTTGAGATTCTTGCTCCCTGTGTAGGTGAGAGTGGGGTCTGCAGGGGGGTTGAGCAAACTGACTGTAGTACCATGGTAGAGAGAACCATTCAAAAGTGGGGAAGAGAATAGAAATGTAGCTGGAACTGGGGCTAGTGTGATCAGGGGAATAAACACTGTTCTCTGTGGCCAGGATCAAGAGTCCCAAAGGCTTTGTTGCCTGCCTGGTGCCCGGGTTCAGGGTCTCTCATCTGGACTGCAGAGGAACTTGGAGTGGAAGGGGAAAGATCCAGTTGTGGTCCATGTAGGTATCAATAATATAGGCAGAAAGGGGAAAGTAGTTCACCTGAGGGGATATGAGCAGCTAGGGGCTAAATTGAAACGCAGAACCAAAACAGTAATAATCTCTGGATTACTACATGAGTCACAAGCTATTTAGCACATGGTCAACAAGATTAAAGAGGAAAACGTGTGGCTCAAAGATTGGTGTGGGAGAAACGGGTTTGAATTCATGGGACAATGGCACCAGTACTGGAGAAGGGCAGAGCTGTTCCAATGAGATGGGCTCTACCTGAATCAAGCTGCAAGGGGTTCAGTTGCATGGAAAACTATGGAAAACATTAAAGTGGAGAGGGCTCAGCAGAGGGTATCAAAGTTTCCAGAACAAGTAATAGGACAGAGTGAATGGAAAGGGTCAGGAATCTAACTTCAGCAGATGAAGGGACAACTACGAGAAGGGGGAAGGAGGTGACAGTCAACACAGGACTGAGGGTGTTGTACCTAAACACACACAGTATATGAAGCAAGGTAAATGAACTTACAGCAGTTTGAAATTGGCAGGTACAACATTGTGGAAATCATAGAGATGTGGCTGCAGGAGGTTTAGGGCTGGGAACTAAATATCCAAGGATATATGTCCTATTGAAAGGACAGACAGATAGGCTGAGGGCCAGGGGTTGCCTTCTTAGTAAGAAATGAAATGAAATTGATAGTAGGAAGTGATATACATTCGGAAAGCATAGAATCTGTGTGGGTAGATTTGAGGAACCGCAACAGAAAAAAAAGACCCTGATAGGAGTTTGCATTGGACTCCTAGCAGTAGTCAGGATGAGGGGAAGAAAATAAATCAGGAGATAGAAAGTGCATGTAAGAAAGATATTATTATAATAAACATGGGGGATTTCAATACGGAGGTGGACTGGGAAAATCAGGTTTTTAGCAGATCTCAGTAAAAGGAATTCATGAAATATCTACAAGATGTTTTTGGAGCATCTTGTGGTAGAGCCCACTAGGGAATGAATAATTCTGGATTTGATGATGTGTAATGAGGCAGGCTTGATTAGGGAGCTTAAGGTGAAGGAACCCTTAGGGGTTAGCGACCATCATACGATAGAATTCACCCTGCAGCTTGAGAGGGAGAAGCTGGGATCAGATGTAACCATATTCCAATTGAGTAAAGATAACTACAAAGACATGAGGGAGGAGCTGGCCAGAGTTGATTGGAAGGGGAGCCTATCAGGGAAGATAGTGGAGCAGCAATAGCAGGAGTTTCTGAGGGTAATTTGAGAGATACAGCAGAAATTCATCTCAAGAAAGAAGAAACATACTAAGGGGAGGATGAAGCAACCATGGCAGACATGGGAAGTCAGCGATAGCATAGAAGTAAAAGAAAAAGCATAAAATGTGGTACAGACTAGTGGGAAGCCAGAGGCTTGCAAGCCTTTAAAAATCAGCAGAAGATAACTAAAAAAAAAAGCAATAACGAGAGAGAAGATGAAATACAAGTGTAAGTTGGTCAGTAATATTAAAGAAAATAGCAAGACATTTTTAGAAACCTTAAAAGGTTAGAGAGAGGCAAGAGTGGATAATGGACCGCTGGGAAATGCAGCTGGAGAAGTGGTAATGAAGAACAAAGAAATGGTGGAAGAACTGAATAGATACTTTGTATCATTCTTCATGGTGGAAGACACCTGCAGCAAACCAGAACTTTAAGAGATTCAGGTGCGCAGAGGTGAGTATAGTGGCCACCAATAACGAGAATATGCTGGGGAAACTGAAAGTTCTGAAGGTGGATAAATCACCCAGACCAGATGGACTACATTCCAGAGTTGTAAGGACATGTAGAAGTATTGCCAGTGATCTTTCAGGAATCACTGGAGCCAGGGAGGGTCCCTGAGGGCTGGAAAATTGCGATTGTAACACCCCTGTTTATGAAGTGGGGGAGGCTGAAGACAGGAAACTCTTGGCCAGTTAGCCTGATCTTGGTCATTGGAAACATTTTAGAGTCCATTATTAAGGATGAGATTGCAGTTTCTTGAAAGTCCAATGTAAAGCAGGGCTGAGTCAGCTATGATTGAATGGTGGAGCAAACTCAATGGGCTGAATAGCCTAATTCTGCTCCTATATCTTCTGGTCTTATGGTGTAGGCACATGCACAATGCCATTAGGGAGTGAGTTTGATGATTTTGATCCAGTGACACTGAAGGTACTATGATACATTTCCAAGTCAGGATGGTGCATGGTTTGGAGGGAAACTTGGAGGTGATGGTGTTCCTATGTTTCTGCTGCCTTTGTCCTTCTGGATGGAAGTAGTTATGGGTTTGGAAAGTGCTTTCTCAGGAGCTTGGTGAATTTCTGCAGCACATCTTATAGATGGTATACACTGCTGCTCTTCAATGTCAGTGGTGGAGGGAGTGAATGTTGGTGGTTTTGGTGCCAAACAAGCAGGTTGCTTCATACTGGATGGTGTCAAGCTTCTTGAGTGTTGCTGGAGCTGCACACATCCAAGAAAGTGGGGAACAACATGAGCCGAATGGCATCTCAATCCTGTGAATTCCTTAAATTTGTCTGAACAGCCTCTTTTCTTAACCTGTTCAAAGAGATTGCTACATGTTCCATTTCTAAGCTCTGTCAGGAGAATTTAAGGTAACGAGAATATTTTTCTTACTTGTACCTATTGCTATCAAACAATAAACTACATCTTGCTGTTAAGACAAGTGCCTCTTCTTGTTAAAAATTAATAGTGGTTTATCCTCTTCCACTGCTAATTGAAAAGGTGCCGAGGCTCAGCACAGAAAGAATAATTTTTTTATTCATTTGTGGGATATGGACATTGCTGATTGGATCTGCATTTCATCCCTAGTTGCTCTTGAACCATTGCACCCTCTGTGTGTAAGTAGACTCACAATGCTGTTCAGGAGGGAATTCCAGCATCTTGACTCAATGACACTGAAGGAACAGTGATATATTTCCAAATCAAAATGGTGAATCGCTTGGAGGGGAACTCAGATGATGGTAGTGTTCTCATGTATCTGCTGTCCTTGTCCTTCTACATGGAAATGGTTGTGGGTTTAGAAGGTCTAAGGATCTTTGGTGAATTTCTGCAGTGCATCTTGTAGATGGTATACACTGTTGCCATTGAGTAAAGGTACGTGTTTATAGATGTTGTGCCAACCAAATGGGCTGTTTTGTCGTGGATGGTGTTGAGTTTCTTGAATGTCATTGGAGCTGCACTCATCCAGGCAAGTGGGGAGTATTCCATCACCCTCCTGACATGAGCCGTGTGGACATGTTTTGGAGATTCAGGAGATGAGTTACTCATTGAAGGATTCCTAGCCTCTGATTTGCTCTTGTAGCCACTGTATTTATATGGCTAGTGCTGGTCAATTTCCGATGACAATGAT